TTTGTTGGACAATTACTTTTAGGCCACATGGTTCTCCCTTTAATTGGTTCCACCTTAAATGAATAAGCTTTTTTCCATGTCTCTAGCCAATACACCTTGTGTACCCACTTGTAAATGTCAAGCTCAGCCTCAGGGTCTTTATTCATTTCATTTAGAGTTGCAATTGCATGCCTGCAAGGTATTCCCATTAATTCCCACTTTCTGCAAGTACAAGTTTGGTTCCTAACATCCACCACATGTTGATCTTGCAATGTTCCAGTGACTTGATACTTGTTTGCCCCATTCCACCTAGCAATATATTGTGAAGCACCTTTTTTTCCTTGCATCTAGGATGTCTATTGTTGTAGGTGTTAGTGGACCTTTAGCCTTCTTCATTGCCTTCATGACATTGCATATACTCTTCATTAGATACTCCCTAGTGAACTCTAAACATGAAATTACAGGTTTGTCCCTGCCTTTCTCTATCTTCCCATTAAACACTTCATACATGTTTGAAATCAACACATCAGAAACAACTCTTCCTGCACATTACAATAACATACAATTAATGTTGATAAATAACTGAAACACATAATCATTACCATATGCAAACATATACAATTACCTGAGAAATGACTCCTTGCCCAATGTACAGGAGGAATCTGCTTCAACCATTTACATGCCTCCTTATCATACTCACTAAACTCTTTCATCAAATGTTCAAACTCAGGAATGGTGGTTGCTGATGCACACCTCCATAAATGGTCCCTCTACTCAGTTTGCTCCCACTTCTTTCTCATATTGTCATGAATATGTCCAATACAATACCTATGCTCAGCATTGGGAAACAATTGATCAACTGCAATTGGTAATCCCTACATGACTCAACATACAATAATTAGAATTAATTTCTTGGTAAAAAAACACAATCTAAATGATCAATTGATGAATTGTAATTTACCTTTTTCCTGTCACTTATGAAAGTATAATTTGAGCTGTTCCCAAGCTCCAAGTCATCCCCAAGTTTTTTTAAAAACCACTTTCAACTAGCTGTGTTTTCAGACTCAACAATTGCATAGGCCAAGGGATAAATTTCATTGTTGGAATCTATACTAACTGTTGTAAGAACCTGACCAGGGAATGGGCCTTTCATGAAGGTACCATCCAAACCTACTAAGTCTCTAAGACATGCTTTAAAACCTTTTTTTTTCAGTGGACCCAAGCATACATAAATCCTTCTAAACTGCCTTGTTGGGGATGCAGGGTTGCCATTAGAACACACATCTATTTTGACTGTTGTGTCTGGGTTTTGTAGCTTGAAGTTCAAGAGCATAGTCCCTCAACAACTCAAACTGTTTTGTGTAGTCCCTAGTTACATGCTTTCTTTCCATATCTTTTTCCCTAAACACCTTATCCATTGAAATACCCACCTGTTAGGTCTTTTGAAAGTGATCTTGTATGGCTCTCAAAGGAATCTTTAGATCTGCCTCAACTTGATCTATGATTTTCTTGCAGGTTAAAGAAGCAATACAAGCTCTGAGTTTTCTTGTTTGTAAGCATGTATGATTTTGGTTTAAGGTCCTTATAAACCAGTCAAATTCGGGTTTTGACCTAGATGCATGTATATACCAACCACATGTGTCTTTTTTTGTCTTTACTTCTTTGCCCTTGCTTTTTGAAGTGGTAGGTTGAGTCCCCACTTAACCTTTATTGAAGATAGGTACAACTCCTCTGCACTGTGCCCTAAGTCTTTGACTGTCATTTTTTTTAAAGAATAGATTCCTTCTTGTTTCTAGTGTGTGCACATCAGTTAACTCCTTTAATTCTTTTTTACTTTTAAACTTTTGCCCCACTGAGAATGACTGTATATGTACTGACCCAAGGTTGCACCTTTTTTCTTTTCCTAAATTTTTTATGAGAGCTCTTCTTTCTCTGTCTTGGTCTGATCCTTCATCCAATGATTCGAACTCCTCATTGTTGGTCACTTCCATATCTTTAGGTTCATGACCATCATTAATACATGCTCCTTCAACATCACTTTCAACATTTAGAACGAAGTCTGCCATGTCCACATCAACATCTTCTATATTGTTCTCTGTGACAACCCGAAATTTTCCATTTGTACGAACATTATCAATTCAATAGAAGCTAGTCCAGTTTCAGTGAGTTTCAGACTTTTCCGTATAAGTTTGCGTACATTAGGGTTTACATTTAAGGAGTTATCAGGAGAGTGGATATTCCTGGGTTTGTAAAATTTGAACATTCCAAGTTTCATAATGTTATAGTCCAACTTCCGGAATAAAAATATTTTCTGCCAAAATATTTCAGGACTATAAATAGATTTCTGAATTAAATTAATTCATTATTCACATTTCCAACTAGAGAAAAGCCATTTTCTCTCTGACGGATCTTCGGGTTTTCATCCCAGATTGTGAGTCTACTTTCCTAGATGTGTTTTATTACTTGTTTTATGCTTTATAACATAGATTAAATGTCTAAAGTACAAGATCCGGGAGCTTACGGCCCAAGAACGTTCTTGGGGTGTAAACTCCAAAACAAGGCCTAAAAGCTACCTAGTCTCATTTCCATGTTAAGCAACTAATTAAGGACTTAATGTATGAACATTAGAGGCTAGAAATCATCCAAGATCATCTAGTTTTAGGAGTTTACGGCCAAGGATATGCTCTTGGGCCGTAAACCCCTTTTTCAAGGGCTAAGAGTGCCCTAAACACCCCTAAGGCTTTAAGACAATTACCCTTTGATACTTGTAACTTGAATGGGGAGTGAATTACATCAAAATCATCCTTAAAAGGGAGTTTACGGCCAAGGAACATCTCTTGGGCCATAAACTCCAAGTAAAGGCACAAATGTGTGCCTAATGTCTCCTTTAGCCTAAATCAAAAACATAGAAGCTATCCTACATGTGCAAGTGACTTAAAAGAATTAAAACCAACACCCCATAGGAGTTTACGGCCTTAAACTCTAGGGGATATGGTCTTTAGGCCGTAAAATCCTCAACTACTTCAAGGATTAATCTATCAATGCTAGGCTTATTCTAGGATTCATTTAGCACCTTAAAACACCCAAAACCACCAACTGTGGAGTTCACGGCCGTAAACTCCAAAGGTGGGGTTTGTTGGGTGGTGAAATCTTATACAAGGCCTTTGGAAGCTTCAAACCCATTTGCCTTGTCCCGTATCAACTTAGATGCAACAATTAGGACCTATAACACTTATACAAAGTGTTTAAATGTTCCTAAGTGTCCCAACTTATTTTGTTAAGTTATTATTTGGCTAATTAGTTATATATATGCTCATTATATGATAACTAGGCTCATGCATGTGAACAAGTCTCCGTTTGCCACCTAGCACGGTACCCGATACATCAATCCAATATACTCACCACAAGTGAGTTCATACCCCTTTAATTAACCTTTGAAATGATTTTAAATGTTTTAAATACTTTATGGGGGGATACAAGTTAAATACTTATAGTTATTGCATCAATCACATGTGATTGCATTAATCACATGTGATTAATAACTAGAAAACCAATGATTGCATCAATCAAACTGTTTCACTTCAAAATGTTTTACAAACTCTTTTACTTATCAAATGCTTTTATTAAACTTTGTTTTACTTCTTATAAATTGCATGCCCATATATGTATAAATATATAAGAAATGTTTAAAGGGCTTAGGAAGGCTATCCACCCTATTTCCTTTTCGCACATTGAGATGTGGTCTGGTGGGATTTCGGGTAACCGTCCGAAGGTCGTTTCAATATTAATTATATATCAAATATACATGTATAGACATAAAAGTACTTCCATATTCATACTTATCAGTACATCATCAGTAAGTTACCATCGGGGTAACATAGGATCATACTACTACAATTTCTAGATAAATGAGTCAGTTCATTCATGAGTTAATACTTATTACTACGAGTACTTATACAACTATACTAGAAAGAAAACATATACAACTATACTAGAAAGAAAACATATACAACTATACTAGAAAGAGAACATATACAACTATACTAGACAGAGAACATATACAACTATACTAGAGGAAGAACATATACAACTATACTAGAACAGTTCATTTCATTACATATACAAGAATACCTTAACAATTGTGATCCACTGTATCGGAGCATGCCTTAATTGTCATGGCCCGAGTTGCAGCCAAAATTCTCTTGGAGGCAGAGCGTGAGTTTGCGTATAGATCTATACTGGATTGACTATCCTACACCTTGCTGCTAGCTACAGTCGGACCTGCAGGTCTGCGGGTGCCAAACGTTATTCCATTATTACGACCATTCATATGTCGTTGTTACCAGTCGATAGTATGGTGCAATTTATCACATGATACCTTAATATAAATCCGGTTTAAGGTAGTTAGTACAACAGTAGTTCCTATAATACAAAACTACAGTACTACAATGATTTACCCATTACATATTTTAGTGATAACCTCACTTAAACACTAATGTACAAACTATATTTTGTTAAATGATAGTTACACTTGGGAAATTACACACTTTTACAACAAACGAGCATACAAAACAGTTAAGCCTTGGTAGAAGGCTACTTTAATAGAAAATATAGGTTTTTCTGAGAGATTCAAACTTTTTACAAACACTTACAAACCTTTACATACATTTTACAAACTTATACTTGATACATGTTCAAACATTTTTGGATGACAAATACCGACACTAAAATACTTATGAACTCACCAGCTTAATGCTGATAAACTCTTTCAAAATAACTTGTATTCTCAGGTCATCAGTAGACAGGTACCGAGGCCAGCTTTTGAGAAGATGGAGCGCATTCAAGACTCATCTTATTATTTTGATATACGTTATTTTTGGTGTCTAAAATGTACAGAACACGCTTGTATTAAAATTATATATTTAATGCAATGGATGATGTTGTTTGCTTATTTACATTTACTGTGTTGTGATACTTTACATGACGTCCTCCGCCCCAGAACGTTTCCGCCGTTCTTGGTTTTAGGGTGTGACATTCTCCTCATCCATTATGTCATCCACTTTATCTTCATTTTCTGATTGTTTCTCATCATGATCATCACCTTCATCCTTTTCATACTCTTCATCACTCTCTTCAGATTCATCATCCCCTTCATACTCTTCAACATCCTCATCACTTCCAATTAAATTTTCCATAAGGTTATCAAAAAGCTCACTATATTGTTCATCATCATTAATGGGTGGGTTGTTGTAGCATCCATCAATATGGTCATTATCATGAACCCCAATCATCTCATCCCCTACATTAGCAATATTTGAAGTAAATGGATTGTAGCATCCTTCAACAACAGTTGTAGCCTCATGAACCTCCTTAACACCCTCATTAGTGTTTTCCTTCTCTTTTAAATCATCAATATCCTCTAAATTAAGCCTCTTTCTACAAGAACCTTCCTCTCTTTTTGAATTCCCAACTCTACCCTTCTATACTCTGGAGAGAATGCATCAGTTTTACTCCCAAAAAGAATCAAAGACATGTACTCACCAATTGTCTCATCATTGACATGGTTCATATTTCTCAATGGAGATTCTACATGAACTTCAGCCTCATATTTAGCCCCTTGATCATCATTTTCTGGTAATTCCTCAATGACAACTTTACCCTTTGCATTTGGAGACATGAAGTATGTGAGTAGATTTGTCTTCCCATGTTCTGTGTACGCCTCAATCAACTTGTTATTTTGAATAAATTTAGAAAGATTGATAACATCCTGATCATTCCCTAAAGCTCTAAGACCAAATTGAAAGTCTCCATTGGGTATCCTGAAATGGTAGTATATCACTGGGGATTCATCAGTCAATTCAGTCATCCGTGGGTCTGGGTAACCTAGATCAAGCATTATGGCATCAAGTTCATGTACAGAAAACTCGTACAGAAAACTCATTTATGTCCACATAATCAACATAACGCACTTCACCTCCAGTATACTTTATGTCAGGTAACTTAGTAAACTTCCCACCATGATGAAGCTTAATACTAAACCATGTGGGTGTAACCGCTACAAGTCAAAATTGTACATGATAACAGAGTCAAAATTTGGCGGATTTTAGTATAAATCAAGGGTAAAATGAAAAATATGAATGTTTAAGAAAACAGAGCAACTTACCATATACGGATGATACGTCGACAACTTTATTTTTTGGTCTGATCTACCACATTATGTACACCATTTCGACTTTAAAGTATGACTTTGTCTCCTTTTCCTTCGATTAGGTTCTTTGGATAACGAAATATTTTTTTTTTTTTTGCAGGTTTAATGGATCAGAAGGAAGAAGGAGGGAGGTGGGGAGTTGACGGGTGTTTGGGATTGTAAATGATGGATAAAAGGTAGATGGAAGCGTTGACATTTGTATGTAAAAATGGTCCCTGTAAGTAAAAAGACAGAAATACCCTCACGTGCAAGGCACATGAGGGGGTTAACGGATTTTTTTAACGGGTGTTAAGTATAGGGACCATTCTCACAAACAAACCAGTCCAAAAGGACCACAAAACCAAAAAACTCGTGGTTTAGACCAAAACCCCAAAAAAATGCATACCACATGGACCATTTTTGCAATTATATATATATATATATATATATATATATATATATATATATATATATATATATATATATATATATATATATATATATATATATATATATATATGGATTTGTATATATTTATGTACTTAATAAATACCTATTTTTATAAATAGGTATTTTGTATACAAAAAAACTTTTTAAGAAAATGTTTTTATATAGAAAATATAAGATTTTTTATATGAAAATATGTTTTTTTGTATAAATATGATTTTATACAGAAAAGACATGTTTGAAACAAAATTTTGAGAAAAAAAGTTGTAAAAATAACAAAGTTAGGATGAATTTATAACAAAATTCTAAAATTTGGGCAAAAAGGGTAAATATTGGATTAAATTTGTAATAAAATTTAAAATCTAAGCCAAAAGTGTAAATTGTAAACCAAATTTATAATAAAATTTGAAACCTAGGCAAAAAATATAATTTTTAAAAGTTGGCTGACCCGTTTACCAGGTGAAAGTGTTAAATTGAATACGATTATCAGTTTTTAGAACTTAATTGAATATATATATATATATATATATATATATATATATATATATATATATATATATATATATATATATATATATATAAATCAATTATGGAATCAATATGTAACGACTTTATTGTAGGTTTTGTTTTTTTAGTGTGCAACCTACTAAAATAAAACCATTTTTTAAACCTACAAAATATATATATATATATATATATATATATATATATATATATATATATATATATATATATATTGTAGGTTTAAAAAATGGTTTTATTTTAGTAGGTTGCACACTAAAAAAAACAAAACCTACAATAAAGTCGTTACATATTGATTCCATAATAGTTCTTTTCTAAATTATATTTTATCAATATTTATCTACAATTTATAAAATAAATTAAATATCAAATTTAAAACAGTATAAATAAAATAAATTAAATATCAAATTTAAAACAGTATAAATAAAATCAATCAATTGTTTCAAGTTGTTGAAAAAAAAATGGTTCAAATTGTTTATAAAAAATGCTATGTATGGAAAAATTCATGAAACCATCTATGATAAAATTCAAACATTCATAAGTAATAAACACAAAAATACTATGCATTATTATATTTTTTAAAACATATGAGTCACTTGAACAAGATTATTTGTTATTGTTTGCTAATCTATTGCGTAGTTAAAAATGGTTTCTTGATTAGAAAAATTGGTATGGTGCCAATTGAATAAGATTATGTCATTTTTTTAACAACTAAATTTTATTCAAATAACATATAATAACAAGTTAGAAAGAAAAAAAAAATATTAAACATTACAAATCAAGGGGTATTGTAACCACATAGTCCAACTAATTAGTTCTAACATTCCTAACAGAAAAACAGTCAAATGAATGAAAAACAATACTTTCAAAAATACTATTCCTCTTCAGCTTAAACGATTAGAACACTATGTTATTATGGTGATTCCAAAATATCCAAATAGTAGTGAAAACGATCACCTCCAAAATCTTCGTTTTCATAGTGCTCGTGCTAACTGTATCAACCCAAGACAAGAGCTCAGCCATACTAATCAAACGAGGAAATGGAATATCAAGCCATTTTTCAATTTGTAACCATATCTGAGCTTTCGCAAAACCGAAACACATGATTTGTGTATTTTTTTTTCTTTAAATCACAAGACGTGTATAACAAGGAAGGAATGTGAATACATTTCCCCCACAAGTTCATCTTGATAAGGATTATATTCAATAAAATACGCTCAGGAAGAAGACAAGCAAGCATTAATCCATCCAACCCATTTTTTATCCAAACCCACAAACTCCAAAATCTTCAAAACATACTCCCATGTAACCGAATCATACACCTTTTCTAAATCCATGTTAAAGATCATCAACTTTTTCTTTTTTCAATTATTCCAATCTATCACTTCATTTACTACAAGAGGGACATCCAAAATTTGGCCACCTTTTAAAAAAGAAGATTGTTTCATGCTAACAACACTATCCGATCCCTTTGTCATTCGATTAGCTAATAGTTTTGCAATAATTTTGTACTACACTCATATTAAGCTAATTGGTCTATAATCTTTAAAAAATGTAAGACTATTTTTTTTCGGGATCAGGGTAATAAAAGATGAGTTGCATTCAGAATTAATGAAATTATTATCATAAAATTCTTCGATAAAATTCCAAACATCAGTTTTTAATAGCTCCCATAATGCGCTTGATAAACCGCAAAGTAAAGCAATCCTGGACCTTGAGCCCGATCACTAGCACACGACCAAACCACCTCTTTGACTTTCTCCAAAGTGAACCTCGGGAAGGAATAACATATGATTATGTGGAGTAAATTACACGATTCATCCCTCGATCAAGTGTCAAATTACGCGTTTAGTTTCTATTTTCAAAAATTAACTCGGACAATCCCTGTAATTTTTTTTCTCACTCGGATAGTCCCTGATGAACATAAAATGACTATTTTACCCTTTCTATTTTATTTTTCATATAATTTTTTATTTATTTGTTATTAACAATTTAAAAGAAAAATAAAAAATAAAGAAAAACAAAAATTGGGCCCACCACCACAAACACTTATCTCCTACCCTAACCCCACTCACACCCACATCCTTCAGTTATCTTCTCCAATTCATAGTCTACCTCCGACAACCGAAAAATACCACCGGACCACCGCACAACATCGTCGGACCACCGCATACCACCATCAACCACCACCACATTTTCTCTCAAAAAACCGTCAACGAGGATGACACGATACACACACACACACACAGAGAGAGAGAGAGAGAGAGAGTTGTCATTGCTAGCTGTTCGCAAATCTACACTCCATGTGGGGGTTTTCGGAGGTGGCTTCGTCTTCTCTACCTGAAAGAAATGTCCCCACCCTCATAAGTCGTCTCTCTCATGTCAAGAACGTCACTGGAAACCATCGTTGGAAAAGAAAAAGAAGATCTTAAGGAAGTTCCCCTGAAAGCAGTCACCATCGTCCTTCTCTTTACCCCCATTCATTGTCTCCCCCTTTCTTTCTTCTCTCATCTATGCGAACCCGTTAGAAACCGCCATTGTCTCTACAAGAAACCACCACCATATACTTCTGAAACCGCCACCATATATCTGGATTACATTAAGAGCCCTAACTTCGAGATTTTCTAGCAAACTCATTTCAGAAATCAAGTTTCTCAACACTCTTAACTTCCCGATTTAGATTCAAGATTTCTAGATTTGAAGTTTCATTCCCCAACTTCTTTGATTTTCCTTCATCCCCAACTTCTTTACAGATTTGGTGTTAATTTTGGTTTCGGATTTTTGGTTGTTTTGGTTTCAGATTTTAAAAAATTGTTGTTGATTTCATTTGGGTTTGAGTTTTAGATTCTGGTTTTAGTATCACGCTTCAAATTATGGTTCTAAATTCAGATTAAGGGGGTACAAGAGTTGTCGGTGGTGACTGCAGGAGGATGCGGTGGTGGTTTCTGGAGGTACCAGTTTGATTTTGCAATTTTCTTCTACTCGATTTCTTCAAGAACCTCTTGAAGTGTTGTATTTTGATTTCGATTGAGTAAAAAAAAAAACTATTGATTTTGGTTTGGGTTTGGATACAGGTTTCAAGATAGTGAAGATGGAGGAAACAAGAAGGTGGGTAGGTGGCGGTGGTGGTGGAAGAGGAAGGAGAGGGGATGGTGGATTATTTCTTTAATTATTTTTATTAAATTGTACAACAAATGATAAGTAAAATAGAAATAAAATAGAAAAGGGTAAAATAATCATTTTATGTTCGTCAGGGACTATCCGAGTGAGAAAAAAATATTACAGGGATGGTCCGAGTTAATTTTTGAAAATAAAGACTAAACGTGCAATTTAACACTTGGTTGAGGGACGAATCTTGTAATTTACTATATATTATGTGGTTGTTTGATTAATGAAATTAATAACATCAATCAATTTAAACTAACATCGGCAACACAAGAATTCCCCTTTTCCTAGACTTATTTTATATTAATAACATAGTTTTATGAATTTTGTCTCTTTATTAAGATGTGTTTACATTTTGAATATATATATATATATATATATATATATATATATATATATATATATATATTTGAACCGGCAAATTTTTATTAAAACACCCAACCTAGCAAAACACCCAACCTAGCAAGATGCTAGGGAGGGGGATGGAACATTTTACAGTTTACATGTTTTGATTTTCCATCTTTATACACATTTAAACGGGTTTACACACCAGTCCATCCAACGAAATGTGCACTTAATTCTCCTATGTTTGACCCATGTGAAGACTGTCGATTTGACCA